GGGGGGGGGGGGGCTTCTCCTCCTGCCGGTGTCCCAAGATCCCAAGATCCCAAGCTTCCCTCGCCCGTTCCTGCCAAGGCTGGAAACCATGGAAGGAGGAGAACGGCGGGGCTCCCAGGAGTGGCAGGGCTGTCCAGGGGATACGAATCGTCACTTGGAAAGAAATCGAACTGGAGACTCCAACATCCCTGCTGATCTACTTAATGGCAGCTTGGCCCCCCACTCCTCCTCCTCAGCTGCGCTCACAGCCAAGGAGCCCTTCACCAGGAATTAACAAGCCGTATTTCCTTCCAAGGTCAGCTCCCCCCACCCCGCAAAATAGCTCTTCGGCATTCAGGGAAAGAGGGCAGAGTGCCCAGAAGGCACCGCAGTGCCCCCTGCTGGAGGATTCTGTCATGTGCAGAGAGATTCCAAGCAGAGGCCCCCCAGCGGCAGAAAAGGCTTTCGCAGCTTTTGCATGCCTGAGTCAAGATGCCCCCCCCCCCCCCGCCCCCCCCCCCCCCCCCCCCCCCCCAGATGGCTTGTGACCATCCTTCCAGACCCACCCACTTGATTTGTTCCCCTCCGAAACGTGGGCTGGTTAAAAAAGTGGGAGGACGTGTCACGTCCCAGCTCAGGCCATGCTCTGGCTCTGAAGATTCGGCTGGCATTTCAGAAAACTTCCAAACACACGGCTGTTTTCCTAGGAGGAGGAGGGTGAAGTTGGTGGGATGGATGCCACTGGTAGGGACAGTCCTTGGCTCCCATTCCCTACATACAGTATCTGTCATCCTGGTGACCGATTGTCACCTACGGGGGCTGCCCAGGGACAACGTTTCAAGACAGGGACATACAAACTGACCGAAACACAGGTTGTCCTCAACTTACAACCACAAATGGAGACTGCCCATCATCTTGTAAATTGTGCTGGTCATAAATCAGGTCACCCACGTAACTAACTCGATTTTATGACTTTTTTGTTTTGTGGCAGTCATTAAGTGAATGCTGTGGTTTTAAAGCTGCAAATGGGCATCAATGCAGAGCAACTGCCGAGGCATCGCGCTGCAGTCCTGTGACTGCGAGGGGAGGGGCAGGGGCTGTCGTAACTTCAGAACAGGATCCTAAACACCCAAGGGATGGCTGTGTAACTTTGAATGGCTGCTAAGAGACTGGTCATAAACTGAGGACCACCAGTAAATGAATGAATGAATCTCAATGTTGAAGTTTGGGCAATCCAGATGTCAAGCTGACAGCTGAACAAGAATTGGAAGACGAAGGCTTGGAAGACGGGAACATTAGCGAATATCAACTGGACACGTGGCAGGGATTGTCAAAAAATCTAAATGTGTGAGAATTAGCTAAATGCTTGTCCCCCCCCCCCCCAAAAGACCCAGAAAGAAATCCACTATGGCAAGAGACATACCGATCCCAGAGACGTTCTTCCAGGCAATGGCCATCACCAGGTGGGCCATCTTCGGACCGACCCCAGGCAACTTCACTAACTCGGCAACGGTTTCCGGGATGTCACCGGCATAGTCCCGCTTCAGGATCGCTGTGGTTTGCTGGATATATCGCACCTTGTTCTGCAGCCCATGAAAAGGTCAGTCATTGCACTGGGCTAACTCGGGAGGAGGAACAGCCCTGCTGGATCAGACCAAGGCCCATCCGACTCCTGCATTTTCTTTTTCGTTTCCTCTTGTGTCCTAACCAGCTGGCTCCAAGGGAACTGCGTGCTTGCAACTCAAAAAAAGACCTACCGGTACTTTATCTCTGTCCCGCCACTGTTCCCCTTCAAACAGTATTTGGAGACAGCTGCCTAGAAGTAACAGGGAAGCCTCAAGACCTCCATAGACCTTGAGGTTGGCAGCAGGGTCCCTCGATCTGCAGGCTGGCATTCCGTTCCCTCCCTGACATACCATCCACCCCTCTCCCGACTGTTGTCAAGAAGCAACCTGGTGAAAGAGGGAATCGCTCTTCTTGAGAGTTTTACGGAGTCAGCCTCTTGCCCCCAACAATCTGGGTCCTCATTTTACTGACCTTGGAAGGCTGGAAGGCTGAGCCAACCTTGAGCCAGAGAGAATTGAACTGCTGGAGTGAGCAGTGAGTTAGCCTGCAGTAATGCATTCTAACCATTGCACCACCACGGCTCTTATATATACTTTTTTATTTTAGATATTTTTATTAGAATATGTTTTTGTAGAATTTTTTTGCTCTTGAATTTTTCTTTGTAAAGCAAAGTTATAAACCCAAAAGAATGGATTTTTGTTATACCTATGAATCTCTTTCAGTTTTTCAGGGCTGTCCTTTATTTTTTCTAACACCTATCTATAGGTAACACTGGTCCTAATGTCTTGAGGAGGAGGAGGAGGAACACGTCTTCCTGCCACGCACAGAGCTCGGCCAGGCCATCAAAGGGGACCCTGAAGGGGACAGAGGCAGATGTCCCCTTGCACCTTCTGCCAGCAAGATCTCCTTGCCACCTTGGGATGTGCAGAGCAGCGTTTCCTAATTGGCAGGAGGTTACGTTGGCTGCTCTGTGCAGGCAGAAGACGGAACAAGTTGTAATGCACTGAGGATACCAAGTAGTTTGGTGACAGCCACATTCACACACCATGGGCCATTTGGGCAAAGCCGTTAAGACGGATTGTGAAGTTCCCACGGGAGCTTTGAGCCCAATCAGCCTTCCTCACAGGGTCGGGATGGGGGTGAGTGGGTGGTAGAGGCCAGAGAGCAGATTAACCAGGCTTCCCCAACTCTTCCCTTCGCCACGTGGCAAATCACTCACCCTCCAAAAGCCGACAGGGTAAATGAGCTGGCCCAGCGCCTCCTCGTCGGTCTCCAGGATCCGCTCCACCGTCAGGCCGTGCTCCCGCAGGCGCATCATGGCCGCAGAGGTCACCTGGTCTTTCGTTTGGCTGGAGAGCATGAGCGACAGCAGAATCTGGTAGCGCTTCACCTGCGAAGCAGAAGGGAGAGAGGTGGGGGAGGGACCCTGTGTTTCCGGCTGGCCCCCCCGGCCCTCCTCAGCCTCGTGGCTGCCCTGCTCACCTCCGCAGGGGCCTCCCTGTCAAAGCAAGCCCCAGCTCCCATCTGGTCGACCGGGGCATTCCTCTGCCTCCGCATCTCCCGGATGTTGGCCAGCTGCTGCTCCCAGTTGGCCGGTTCCCATTTCTGCTTCTTGGCGTGGGGGGCCTCTGCTGCCCCATTTCCCTCTGGGGGTTCATAGGCAATGCTGACTTTCCTCCCCCGCCGGAGATTTCTTGGGCAGAGGGCCTCTCTGGGTGCTGTGACACATAGTGGAACAAACACTCAAATAAGCAACGGGAGACTCAGAAAAGTTCTTGGTTCATTTCATCCAGTGCTACAAGCTAGGACGACATTTTCAAACTTGGCCGAAGGAAAGAGAAGACACTGAATCGGGAAGGAAGAGTCAAAGAAAGGAGAACACAAAGGCAGCAACGGGGAAGGAAGCAGGTGGCTGCAGCTGCAATCCCCTCCCTGCTTCCTGAAGGCTCTGGGCAGCTCACAAGGAAAAAAACCACTTGCATCAAGGCTTGTTCTTGGCTCTTTTCCACAACCAGCCAATGCCGGCTTTTCTTCTTCATCATTTCGCTTGACAAAGTGCATCTCTGCATCCCTTTCTCACAAGCCAGGCCTAATGTATCAATATCACTACAGAGAGGTGATGCATCGTGAGGAGTTGTTGCCTTTCTTGTTTTTGGGTCCAAACTGCCAGTTCTAGTTATGTCTAGTGCAGTGGTCCCCAAGCTTCTGGGCACCAGGTACCGGTCCCATGGGGAGGGAAGGGGCAGAGTTTCATGTGCTGCTTGCATCCTGCAGATGGGGCTTGTTTGCATGGCCCAGTACTGGTCCACAGACCGGGGTTGAGGAGCCCTGGTCTAGTTAATGGCTGCAATTGTGTATCAGAGATATGGGCTTGATGATTGTTTGTCTGTCAAACATGTACAAATAAGAAGTATAAATATGAACATCAACAGGAACAAAGGGAGTAAATATAGGTAAATGGGGACAGTAAGACAGGGATGGCAGGCAGGCTGGTGCACTTATGCAGGCCCCCTTTTAGGCCCCCTTAGGAACGGGATGTGGTGAATTTGTATTAATATCAAATTATGAAAGAAAGTTAACAATTTCAACGTGAAACTATTGTCATGCTTGTTTTAAAATGTAAAACAACCTGGAACCACACTGTTCACACAACAATGTGTATATAGAAACAAAAAATGTATTTAAAAAAAGGAATGGGGTGATGCCCAAGGTAGACAGTGTGAGGTTGAAGCTGTGAGGGTTCGTGGCTGTAACAATGGAGTCGGATAGGGGATTTTGCTGTATTCCCACCATTCAGGTTTGTTTTTTAGCACTTTTCTCACTGCTTGGGTGTATTCCTTATTTATCACATTTATGCCCAGTCTATGCTTGATGTAAACCAACTGTAAAATGCCTAAATACTTGTAAGCTTCATCCTGATCGTTTGGCTATTTAACATTTCAGTTCTATTACTGAGTATGATTTCAACCGAAACTACTGCTACTGTAGCATATTTCTCAAGACCAAATTCCATTGCTATTATCTCTTCTCAAAATTCTGACAGTATTTGTCAACGACTTTATTGTTTTTACAAATAACTCAAGGTGTCGAGCACTCCTAATCCTCAATGTCTATGGAGATTCTCCGTCTTCCAGGTCATGGTTGTCCCAAAGGTACTTTTTCTTTAAGAGGCAACGGGACTTTCTGGTTTTTCTCTGAAGACATTTCACTTCTTATTCAAGAAGCTTCTTCAGTTCTCTGAAGAGCTCAAGAAGCTTCATGGATGAGAAGTGAAACGTCTTCAAAGAAAAACAAGAAGGCCCAGTTGCCTCTGGGAAAAAAAAGCACCTTTGGGCCCCCTTAATCAGATAATAGATTAACAGAGTTGAAAGGGACCTTGTAGGTCATCTAGTCCAGCGGTCACCAACTGGTGGGCCACGGCCCACTGGTGGGCCGCAAGAAAATTTTGGTGGGCTCACCCCCAGAGCACCCCCCCCAAAGCAATTAATCCAGGCTGCACAGAAACACAAGGCTGCGTGGCCCACATGGCCCGCGGGAACCCTCCCCACCCACTCACTCCTTACCCCGTAAACTTGCCTGCTAAATTGCTATTTTTCCTTTTTCCGACCATCATCTATCTGTTCTGCTGTGCCAGGAGATTTAGATTAGCTAGGAAGCAGGAAATGGTTGGATTTCTTGCTTTCTAGCTAGTCTTTAGACCTTTGGCTCAGCACAGCTGAACCTCCCTTAGGACTGAAGGTTTGCTTGCAAGCAAATTCAGTGCAGACCCACTGCAAGCAAATTTGAGAGACTGAGCTAGCCGATGGCAGATAGATAGATCACTGAATGATTCTGTGAGCAACTCAATCTGCCTGCTTTGCCTAATTTGGGGTAAAGGTTGCTCTTTTTTAAATAAACAATTCAATGTTTATATATTTATAATATTTACATACAAGCCATGCCCAGCCAGTCACATGACCACCAAGCCACACCCATAAATTAGGCCACGCCCACAGAACCGGTTAGTGGTCCCTGGGATCTAAAATTATGAGTTTGGTGGTCCCTGATGTCCAAAAGGTTGGCGACCCCTGGCCTAGTCCAACCTCCCCCCCCCCCCCAAGAAGGAGACCCTACACACCATTTCTGACAGATGGCAGTCCAGCCTCTTCTTGAAAGCCTCCAGGGATGAAGCTCCCACCACTTCCGAAGGCAACTTCTGTTCTATTGGTTGATTGTTCTCTCTGTCAGAAAGTTTCTCCTTATTTCCAGGTGGAATCTCTCCTTCCTCCTCCTATTTTCCCCACAAACACCCTGTGAGGTGGGCTGGGCAGAGAGAGAGACTGGCCCAAAGTCCTGCAGTCAGGTTGTTTTTTGGATTGTGTTTTGTTTGCCAAAGGAAAAGAGGGGGAAAGGAGGCCTGTAAGGGGCCTGCATAAGGGCACCATCGTGCCTACTGCCTCCCGTCCCTGTCCCGTTGTCCCCATGGATTTGTACCTGTTTCCTGTATTCTTCTTGCTCGTGTTATTCTTATACCTATCATCTTGTAAGCGATGGACAAATCAAAGCAAGCAAAAAAGGGCAAAGGCTGCTGCCAGGGACCCCGAGGGGAGGGCCAAACCCATCGGAGCCTCCCTTCCAACTTGGCGCCTGGCGCTCCGGAGATGGCGCTGCTGTCGGTTTTGCGGCCGGGGGGAAACGGCCTGAAGCTCGGCTGGCGGCGGTGGGTGGGGGTCCCTCCCGTCTCTTCCCAGACGGCGCCCCTAAAGGCAGGCCGGCCCCTACCCGCCCCACCACCCCAAGGGCAGCCAGCGCTTCCCCAGGAGGCTGAGCGCCGGAGCCTCCCCCAGGAAAGAGGAGGCAACGGGGCGGCCGCCCGAAAGGGGCGGGAAGCGATGCCGGCTGGGGCCCCCTCCCCTTATGCGGAGCCCGGCCTACGAGCCCCCGTTCCGCCTCGGACCCCCCTTTCCAGAAGGGGAGGCGATGAGCGGAGCCCCCTCCACGGGCAGCTACTCCCCCCGCCCCTCACCTCGGGCTCCGCTCAGCCGCCGCCGGGCTGGGAAGCTGCGCTCGGCGCACATGGCCCCGCCCGCCGGGGACTACCGCCCCCACAATACCCCGCGGCGAGAGCCGCCTCCTTCCGCCGTCGCCTGAGCTCCACGCCGGAAACTCAGCGGCCCTTCCGCTGGCTGGGGGCGGGGCCGGGGGGGGTTTACGTGCTTTGGGGGCCGGAGCGCCGCGACCCTCGCCGGGGAGGTCGGTGAGCGAGTCCGTCCGTCCGCGGCGCCCCCGACGGGCCCAGACCGCGGGAGGGGGGGAGGCTGTTGTGGGAGGCAGCCGCGGAGGCGCCAGGAACGGCCCGGGCGGCCGGTCGGTCCAGCCGCTGAGCTGCCCAGGCGGTGCTCGGGGCTCGCTTGGGGCAACTCGCGGGAGGCCGAGGGGAGAGCCGGGGCCCTGCTTCGATCCGGAGCGTTGGCGGCCCTGAACGAAGCGACGGCGGCAGAGCCGGTGCAGCCCTGAAGGGGGACGAGAGCGGCCCGGGGGCTCCTGCAGCCCCGAGGAGCCTCTTCAGAGGCCGTGGCGGCCCCGCGTGCCCGAAGGGGCTGGGCAGACTCTGCGGGGGCCCCCTCGGGGCTGCTCCCCCCCTTTTGGCCCAGCCGCCCTGCCTTCCCAGGGGGACCGGTTTGCAGCCGGCTCTTCTTCGCAGGGCGGGCCTGCGCTGGCCGGGGCGTTCTGGCGGCCGATCTGCCCGCAAAGGAGCGGAGCCCTCGACGGAGGCCGGGTGGCGGGGGAGAAAAGGTTGCGTCGTGAAAGCGAGAGCGGTGGAGAACGGCGCCCATTTCGCTTCCCCTTTCCCCGCACACAACACATCGCAAGCGGCCCACCGAGCCAGGCAGGAGGCTGTTGGGGGGCGGGGGGGAGGCACCAGGCTAGAAATGGGGGCCCTTGGGCACGAAAAGCCTGCTGGGGGGGACTTTGGGCCGGGCCCTCTCAGCCCAACCCGCCTCCCTGGGTGGCTGCGGGGGAAATAGGCATGGTAGGAGCACCGAGTATATTCACCAGCCGATGGAGTTTCAGGCTTCCTTCCTTTCTTGGATTTTGAATGGAGCCACACCTGGCACCACCTGTGTAATAATAGGAAACCAGGCTGAGCAGAATGGGCCCCCCATCAGCCAGAGAGAGTCAGCTGGCAGGGATCACAAGAGGAGCATGTCCCCCATGGAGCATAGAAGTAGAATCCTTTCTTGGCCAAGTGTGGTTGGACACACAAGGAATTTGTCTTGGTGCAAATGCTCTCAGTAAATAATCATAAAGGAAAAGAGACATTCGTCAAGAACCACAAGGTTAATAGGATATATAGTAAGCCATCAAATCATACTAGGAAACAGTCCTCCCTTCAGAGAATAAAATGGCAGTTGGCCTTTCATGAGGCCCTAGAAACCTGGCTTTGCTCCTGGGCCTGGGATGCTGAATATGTTAAGGGGCCGGTTTCTTGGCATGAAAGGAAGAAAAGGAATGAATGAGAAACTTAAACCTAATTAAAACAGTAGCTCACTGAAGAATACTGTAGCTTGATTAATGAAAAGGTGACAGAGTAAAAATTATGAGGCATGTTACATCTCGCGAGCTATTTTGTATTTTCTACTCTGAAAATATTGTAGAAATAATACTAATAAACTATTTACAAGCAGCAATAAAAATGAGATCAATAAACCAATCTTTCATGCTATCAATACAATTATTTCTGCTCAAAAAGCTTTTACAGCAGGCACTAGTGAAGTACATATCACTCCACATTAGTATTACTTCACTAACTAGTTGTTGAATAATGACGTTTGAATGCTTTATCTAGACTGAAAAATAAGATTTATTGTAATGATTAATTACCATTGGCATTTGGGAAGAACAGCATGACTATTTCTAAAACTTTGAGAATGGTGAAACAAGGTAGATTCATAACATCAATTTATCTTAATAAATAACCAGCATCCTAACACATACAGATCTGTAGTAATTATCTTTTTAAAACTGCAAAATACCTTTAATTTGTATGGTCATACCTTTCAGTATGGTCAAAAGATACAACAGTATTGTTGGTCTGAATTTAATTATTTTCAGGTTCTAGTTTATGAAACCATCTTATTTCATTTCAAGGGGAAAGTTTTGTTTGCTTTTTTTTGTTTAAAAACTATATTTTATATACAGTCCAAGGAACTGAAGGACCATCTAGAGGTATTCAGTTCCCCACTATATACGTGTATCACAATCCTACAAGGTTAGTTGTGGCTCTTCCACACATTTTCTTAAATAGAGCACCACACTGGTTCTCATATAAATTGATAATGTTTTAATGCACAGAATTTGGTAGTTGTTTCAGTAGTAGCTTTTTTTAAATTAGAGAAGGAACTCCTGATGAAGTTGGAGACATATTGTATTGCATAAAAGCAGGTACCCGTATGCCATGTTTGAGCATGCGTAGAGTGGATTGTAGGTGTCTGTACTTTTTTTTGTCTCTCTTAAGCTTCTATCTCGGAAGGGTTACATTGAGAAAATCTCAACTATTTTCCCTTGATAAAGCAATCTTCTCTCCATACAGTTTCCTTGATGCTGTTTTAGTTAACAATGGCAAAGCCACCAAGTAAAGATCCTGGGCTAAAGGAGAAGTTTAAGAGCCTGCTAGGACTGTCATCCAGGCCCAATTCTAAGTCATCTGAAGGAAAGCAGACAGAATTCATCATCACTGCAGAAATACTCAAGGTAACATTAAGAAATATTCCAAACCTTGAATTTACATTAAGGGCCAAAAATTTTAGTAGATTAATTTAAGAAAACTAATACAGATTTTAATTTCAAGGATTTTTAAAAATCCTTTAAATTGCCTTAAGAGTTGGGTTCCCCAAAGATTTGTGAGTAAAATAAATCCTCAATAGATTTTGGTTTAGCTAAATGAATTAGTGATATCGTCTTTGAATGTAAGACAATATCTATGTACTATATGCTATAAGCATTAAATCCTGATAGCCATTTTATGTATATATAAAACATAATTTAATGTGTAATATGTTTAAATCCCCTTTATATTTAAAGGATATTCTACTTTAAAAGGTAACCCTTTCTCCCTATTACTGTGCAGCTGAGGGGATACAATAACACCATCCTGATGGCACTGCTTTATTAACTAAGCAGAGTTAACTAGCTTTGAGTTATGAAGGGAGCTTTTTAAACTCCAAAGCCTTGAGCCTTTGGAACCTCTTGCCCCATGAGGTAAGATTGGCTCCCACCATCCTGACTTTCCCTAAGAGCCTGAAGACCTGGCTCTGCAGTTGGCTTGGGGTCCCAATTCCCCGCCTACCCTCCTGTATACTCTTCCTCCCTCCCCATCTGAGCAAGGAAGGCCAGGTTTCCCCTTCTCTAAAAAATGTGAGTCTATGCATAAGAATATTTCACCAGGAAGTGCTAGTCCTGGTTCCTTCGCTGCTTGATGTGGTCAGACATGTAGAGCCACCATCCTGTCTGTGAACCTGCTGCTGCTTGTTCAGATCTAAGCCTATACTTGTCTTTCAGGAACTGAGCATAGAATGTGGCTTAAACAACCGGATAAAAACAATCGGACAAATCTGTGAGGTGGCAAAAACTAAAAAGTTTGAAGAGGTGCGTATGCAGGGCTTACTGTTTGGATAAATAAATGCATATATATAAGCATCCACTGCTGCTGAACTGCACATCCTACATGGCTTAGGATTTATAGATGGCTTGGGATGAATGGAGGGTGAAGCCCTGGGTTACTAAGCAAGAAAATTTCTGTTTCTCTTCCCCAGTAGAAAAGGGGATAGAACAAATTCTGAGTTTAAATAAATAACAGGAAGGCAAAATTGGCTCATGACTTTCTTTTGAAAGTAGACATTTTTATTCATTTCTGCCTTTGGGTAGTTATATGGCGTTGGAAGAGAATGTCACAAAGAAGATGTTAATATGAGAATAGACATAATCTGAAATTCTACAGTGTTTGGTCCCTATCTTACAATAGTCTGGTTGAGGGGGCATCCATTTACTTTGAAGCAGAATGGAAAGCGTTAAAAAAGACATGGATGTTTTTGTTAGGATTAGAACAGGACAGAGAAAAATAATTAAATCAGAATCTAACCCTGTGATGTTAAGATATAAATGTCACAGTTACCTAATAGGCAAATGTTTACATTTAGTAGACACAATTGATGCAATTTTATCTGAATAAACCAAAGGATCAAAGTCTCTCTCAATGTTTCTGTGCTCCTATAGCATGCAGTGGAAGCTATTTGGAAAGCGGTAGCTGATATGCTGCAGCCAGATCGGCCACCTGAGGCCCGGCACGCTGTCCTCCATCTGTTGCAGGCAATAATTCTGGGACAGGTAAGTTGCATTACCAAGCAACTGTACTAGAAGGAAGCACCAGTTTTAAAAATGTACACTTGTTACTGAAGCCAATTCTTTTATCCTTAAGGGTGAAAGGCTGGGGATTCTCCGAGCTCATTTTTTTAGAGTGATTAAAGATTATCCATCTAATGAAGACCTGCATGAGCGGCTGGAGGTATTCAAGGCACTGACTGATAATGGAAAACACATAACCTATTTGGAAGAGGAACTAGGTAGGTCCCCTATTTTAGTAGTAGATTTTTGCACTGAGAAGTGGGTGAGCAAAACTCACCATCTGTTTCTGATCTGATCCAGCAAGTTTTTTCCTTCTGGTCTTACAAGGAGGGGCTTCTCTGGTGAATTTTTGAATGGGTCATTTAGAAGCTTGAGTATTGACCATCATTTGTATAGAATGTTTAGTATCTACCATTTTCAGTATCTAGCATTTTCAGTGTCTAGCATTTGTATAGAACGTTTGCTGCAGTTCAGTATCTAGTATCTTCCCTTTTCTTGTTGCTGCTTCTTTCAGCTGAATTTGTTCTTCAGTGGATGAAAGTTGGTTTGACTTCAGAGTTTCTGTTGGTGTTGATCAACTTAGTAAAATTCAACAGCTGTTACTTGGAGGACTACATTGCTGGCATGGTCTAGTAAGGCAAAGTTTTGGATCTTCCCTTGCTTGTAAGGAAGCATAATTAATATGAAATTCTGGATTCTGTAGTCCCAACGTATCTAAACAGTTTGAGGGAGGTTGCTCTGAAATGATAATCTTGATAGAGTCATGTTATTTTGCTGACTGGGTGGTGGAAAAAGTATATCAGTATCAGTTCAAACACTGAGTTAATTGAGAGGGCAACCCATGGAAGCCATCATTGAGCCATGAGCCATAAACTAGTGGAGAACCTGGTCAGAACAAGTTCTATTCACATACCTGAGCCTGGTTTTGGGGAGGGGGGTGTTTCTGGCAGGCTCAAGTTTGACATTTAAGATTTCTGCACTAGTGAAATCTTAACAAAGCCTTGTTAACAACGTTAAGCCAACCAACACCCTTAACCCTATTTTCCTTTCCTTTAGCATGATTTGTGCCTTATGCATTCAGACCTCTTCTGCAGTTGACATTAAGGTGAGTAGTGACATGAATGTTGTGGGCAGGATAAAAAGGGCCCTTGAAAATAGGAACAGGTCTGCGTTGGAACAATGAGACTCTCGTCTCTTTCTTTCTCCCTCGAGACCTTCCAACCCGTCCTTCTTCCCCCTGCTCAGTTTGCCATCAAGCTCCCTGTCTGGGAGTTGCTGTTGCAGCCACAGTATCTCATGGCGGGGCAGTTGGAAGCCTGCTTGCACCCGGCTCTTCATGCACTGGGTTACTTCGTGGCTGACAGCTTGTGTCTGGGAAGGGGCACCAGAATGACCTGGGCCCACATGGGAACTGCATGCACTGTGGCCTTTGCTCAGACGAGGGTAACAACGGAATTTGCTTGCTGCTCCCTTGGCCCTAGCTAGTTTTTAGGTATTGCCTGCCTGGTTTGCTTCAGTCATTTGTATTTTTGTTGAGACAGAATAGAAGTGAAATACAAAAATCCCATTTCTCTCAAGCTCCTCACCCCAACTTTTCCCCTCAAGGTTTCCCTGCAGGTGTTGGATGCCGTGGTGTGTTACAATTGCCTGCCTTCTGAAATCCTCCCGATGTTCATCATCACCTTGTGCTGGACTATCAATGTGAAGGAGCTCTGTGAACCCTGCTGGAAGGTGAGGCGTTTCTCGGAGCAGGAAGCAGCTGAGTCCTGGGCCGCAGGAGGGGAGGAGGAGAACAACGCAGCAGCATGGGGTGTTTTTTGGGGGGAGGGAGGGGGAGCTTAAGAACCTATGGCTGGGTTCACCTATCAGCCAGGCCAGAATTTGTTTGGGTTGTGGACTTATTTAACGTAGTGTTAGGGATATACACCCTAGCAGAACGTGCAACGGTAGTCAGTC